GGGGGGGGGGGGGGGGGGACCTCTTCCATGGGCACTACAGAAGGAGCCCAAGATCATGGGTACAAACCATGGGAAACCTACTAGTGGTCCCAAGCATAGTTGTGCCATTATTAAATACAAATCAACTTTGATAAAATCAATGATGCTGCTTTTTATTTTTTTGTACCTATTTTGTTTCTTTGATAATATGCCTCATTATCCTCATCGGCTCATCCAAGCAAGGTTGAGGTTTAGACTAATGTTTGAAAAGCTACGAGTGTGAGAAACACTGGGGGGACTTGATTATGACATTGATTATGTAATAAATAGGATTGATTTTGTAATAAATAAAGTCAGCCTAAATTTCAAGTGAAATTACTTGCATAGTTGCATGAAAAAGTCATCTTGATAGCTATATGCATTAATGTCATTGTTGAGTGTTCCTTTTTTCTCAGACTGCTTAAATGCAAGACACTCCAAAACAATTCATGAGCTTTATTATATTTAATATCATCGGAATACAAAACCTAATTTAAACAGTAAACTTGAATATCCATAACAGAAGTATTGTGCCATAAAATGAGTTCTTCAGTGAAATTGATGCATTTTCTTATACTTCACTTACTTTCACAGTATGCACGAATAGTGCGTGAAGCACTTTGTGAGTTAGAGCTTCCATACATACTTCAAAGTGTAGGTGAAGGGTCGGGACGCACAAAGCAACTTCTTGATATGTGTGGATCGGAACAGGTCAGCTTTTAATGATTTGTAGATCGACATTAAAATGTTAGAAGAAAAAGTTGAGAGGTTGTGTGTCTTTGATTTTCCAAAAACTTTGTTGCAAGGTGCCTCACATACCATGGGAACTAATGTGAAACTTTTGTGAATGACTAGTTTTTGGGATCAAAAGACCCCATTGACTATGGATACGAGATTCTTGCCTTGTATACATCTAAATTTAGTATGCTAGCCTCACAATCTGTTATTTAATATCGGCAAGATTTGGGATTACCCTTTTGCTTCTAACCATCTTATGCCTGTAAAATGCTATTAGTTACCCCATTGCCGTTGCCGTTGCCGTTATCAACTCCTTTGGATCCTTGAATTGTTTTATCATTGCTGAGTATTAAAAAATGGGACAGTTGCATGCTGTAAAACGTATAGAAGCACTGAGAGAGGATCAGAATAAGAGTAATCAGATGAGATTTGGAGCCTCAAATTTGTTCTAATAACATACTGAAAATATTCGCAGTAGGTTAATCATTAGTGTAAAACTCTATCAAATCCGATGACATGAATCTGAATAAACATGACGTGTCATAGTTTGTAGAATCTAGTTGCTTTACTTTTTCCAGTACATCTAGAAATGAGCCGAATGGAGTGGATAAAGTATGTGTATAGCTGAATCCAAATTAATTGAGAACAAGGCTTAGTTTGTTGTTGCTGTATGTATGAAAATTAACTATTTCCAGGATAAAAGTTGTAAAGTGGTGTTACTCTGCAGGTTCCTCACCTTGTTGACCCCAACACTGGTACACAAATTGGAGATTACAAGAAGATTATATTGTATTTGTTTCAGACATATTCTTTTTCCACCACGTAATAACTGATTAAAAGCTCCAGCAGTGCAGCCACTGGTGATGTAGAAAAAGATGGAGTTGTAGAAAATGAGAGAGGGGCTTTTCTGGGCTGTGGCTTCCATTAATACCTTTATTTCATACTTTTGTATTTCAATTCTATGAATGGATCATCTAGTTTAAATCTTGAAGTGTTAAGTTGGAGAGGAAATTTATTTAGTTATTAATGTGTGACCTCGGTACCTTAATGTTGTGTTGCATAACGATGCTCTTTGAACACATTAGGAATGTATCTTACTAGGAACACCTTTAGTTCAATATTTCAAGCTGTGTCATATATTAACCCCATGTTTATCTCCCATTAAAATAAAATTGTTTAAATCACGCTCATTTTTAATTGCACGTTTACACAATAAAATATTTTGTACATAAGTTTAAGATTTTTTTCATATTTTTTAACCACACATTCTTTAAAAAATCACTGTTCAAAACTCAATTTTTTTTCAAAATAATGACCATCAAATAAAGACTGTATGTCTAAAAATAAAAACGGAACCATTTCTCCTACTCATTAATTTGACACATTATTTGACAAATAATCGTGACCTTTAATTTAAATCAATCCAACGTTCAATATTTTATGGATATCAAGTGGTTATAACAAACACTAACATGATCTTAATGAAATACATATTGAGTGTTGGATTGACTTAAATTAAAGGTAACGATTATTTGTCAAATTAATGAGTAGGAGGAACGGTCCCGAAATAAAATATAAAATATTATAATAATATTTGAATCAATGTGCACCCGATGTGTTTGTGTTAGTGATTTTAGACTCATTCGATCCGGTCTCACTTTCATCCAAACATAGCTTGTGTAAAAATTAGGTGTACTTGATTGCCATGTCCAAATACTTTTTCAAATAGGTGTCCTTGATTGCCATGTAGACCCGTCAATATTGCGAGCTTGTTTGGGAGAAATTAAAATTGAAAATGGAACAATACATAAATAAGGTATTTAAGTATCACAATTTCAAAATTAAGGTTTGAAGTTTTAAATTTCAAAAATCAGGTTTTCATTAAAATTTAATTATGAAATAATAATTATTAAATTAATTTATTATTAATATTTAATTCTACTATAAAATAATTAATTCACCCCCACCTCCATCACCCCTACAACTCCGAGGCTATTCTGGCGATCGTTTCGGTCACCACTCTTCTCCGGTGATCGTTTCGACGACTTTTTCGACGATTGATTCAATTTCGACGAATATGTTAAGGTCACAGATCTATACAATTTGGTCACAATTCAAAAATTTTTAGGTCACAATTCAAAACTTTCATAGGTCACAATTTGTTTATTGGTCGCAACTTAGAAATTTAAAAGTCACAACTTGTTCATCGGTCACAGATCCCAAAATTTATAAGTCACAATACTTATTTAGGTCACAATCTATCAATTTATTGGTCACAATTAATAATTTTTAGGTCACAAAGCATTTATTGGTCATAGATTATCTAATTCATTGGTCACATATTGTTTACTGATCACAAATTAACCAAATTCTTGATCACAAACAACCTAATCATTTGTGAACACCCCCGAATCATTTGTGACCACCACTTCGCCACGACTACCACCGCCGTGCCAACCAGATCACGGCGGTGCAACAAACTGGCCACCAAAGCAAAACTCAACCAATCACTGGACTAGATCGCAACTGCACCCCACACTGCACCCCTGTCACAACACCACCACAACCGTCGACACAGGAACAACAAACCAAAAAAACCACCATATCAGCCGACCCATCGCCGCTGCCGCCAACACCAAGATCCAGCCCCACCAACAGCCCACTGCTAACAGCCACAGAAGAACCACCACGCCCACCACCATGCACCCACAGACGCACCACCACGCCGGCATAGACCACGCCCACCACAGACCACAGATCACAGATCGATACTAATCACAAGCCACCACCTGCGCCACCATTGCTGTGATCTGCACAAAACGGCACCCAATCAGTTATGCTCCTCCCAAGACCGCCGCACCTCCACCAAACCCAGATCTGCCGCACCCACACACCAAACACATCTCTCTCGCACCCAGGCACAAACATCCAACCACCATAACCGGCGCAAGTACACACACCCCCAGCCACCGCTCATCCCAACATCGAAACCACAACGACACAAAAAAAAAATAGAAAAAGACAGAAAGAGAGTGGAAGAAGTGGAGACAGTGTGAAACGAGAGAGGGATATGAGTGGAAGGAGAGTCCACTTCGGCGATGGCGACGACGGCGGCGAGAGACGGAGTAGAGAAGAGAGGCTGACGGGGAGGAGAGAAATGGAAGGGAGGAGGGAGAATGGATCTTAGATGCAATGAATTTTAGGGTTTGATTTGGGTGATTTTAATTGGATCGAAAATTATATAATTAATATTAATTAATATAAAAACCTGATAATTGAAAGTTTAAACTTGTGATATGATTTGTGAAAATGGAAATCTAAAAACAGGTGTATGTGTAATTTCCTCAATTGAAAATATAGTTGTTATTGGGTTTCACTAGTTTAATAAAAGTCAACAATATCGGCTAGTTTTTCGATTTTAATTTGATTTTAATCTCTACCAAATACACTCTACAAGTTGACATCGCCAAGCATATATAACTTGTTTATTTTCTATTTCTTTTCTTCTTCTAAAATTTAAATACAATTTAAATTTAAGACATTGGAAAGAAACTAAGGATGTGTTTGGTAGAAATTAAAATCGGAATAAAATTGAAAAACTAGTCGTTATTGTTGACTTTTATTAGAAGTGTGGGATTCAATAATGACTATATTTTTAATTTTAATTGAATTTTAAACTTAAGCAAACATGCTCTAAATATTCTTTTTTTAAGTGAATCGTGAATGAACTGAGACACGATTTGTCTATTAATAAGGGTCCATCTATGAATTGACTTGAACTAAGCTAGGTTATTTCGATCAATTTTTTAATGGACAAAGTGTCAAAGTCGTCTCAGTTGTTGACTATCTTGCTCGAATTGACACTTCTACAAAATCGAAATAATATTCTACAAATTAAGTTTTTATTTGACGGTCATTATTTCAAAACTTTATTCTACATATTCATTTTCAACAATACATTCACGCGATAAAATATTCTGTACGTAAATTAAAATTTTTGTTTACTTTTTAATCACACATTATCTAAAAATTTAGTATTCAAAACTTATTTTTGTCAAATAATGGCCATAAAAAATGGGCTAAAACGAAAATATATGCATCATTGGTTAATAATTATTAGTTGCAACCTTATGTCAAAATTGAAATAGGGCAAGCTGAAACAACTTGCATCTTAAGCAATAGTAGTTGTACATTTCTCAGTCAAATAGGTTGTCCGAACCTTCCATAACTCAAACCTTCCTGGTCAGATATGCCGTCCAGGTCCAGGTGGGAACACAAATTTCCAAAATTAGGGTCCCAAATTCCATTAAGAAATTAAATTAAATTAAATTAACCTAATTTTAATCACCAAACAAGTTCTATACTAGGATGGCAACTGGGCGAGTTTGGGCCGGGGCGTCCCTACCCCGCCCCGTCCCGCCTTAGGCTAGGCGGGACAGGGCAGGGCAGAGCAGGGCGGGACGGGGCGGGGCCATTTTCCTGCCCCGTTTCTTTTTTTTATAATTTTTTTTTTGCCTTAAAAAATTTCCAATTATACGGTTAAGGAAAAGATAACTCCACTTCCAAAAAAAATTGTTCATCAAATTTAAGAACATAAATCTATAACTCTACTTCAAAAAAAATATTTATTAATCATGTATTCTGGATACTTTTTTTTTAATGGTTCACGGGGCAGGTGCGGGGCAGGGCGAGGCGGGTTTTTTGCCATCTCTATTCTATACTCATAAATATCATCATAAAAGTTCGACAACATTACAAGTAACACCATCAAATGTCTCAATAAAATCATCGAATTTACCTCTAGAAATTCATTAAATTGATTAATAGATACATGAAAAATGATTTCATTGAAACGACGTTGTAAATTTTATGACCACATACGTAACAAAATTTCAATTACTTTACCAAATTCGAATATTTTTTTTTTAATCAAACAAGAACAGAATGTATGTATTTACTATTTAGAGCCTGCTTGAGCCCCATTATTTTGCTAAAATGCACTTTGAAATAGTAATTTGATGGAGAATATGTGATTAGATATAAGAAAAAGTTTTGAATTTACGTGTAATATTATTTTATTGAAAAATGTGTGATTGAAAATAAAAGAGAGAAAAATGTATTTTGAAAATAATTGAGACCAAACAAAGGTTTAGATCAAAATGTAACTTTTTGGCCTTGTTTGACAATCATTATTCAGATAAAATAGAGTTTTGAATAGTGATCTTTCGAAAAATGCGTGATTAAAGAGTAGAAAAAATTTTAAATTTACATATAAAATATTTTATTACGTGAAATATATAATTTAAAATGAGTATGTATTAAAAGAAAAATTGAAATCATCATCGTCAAATAAAAACTTTTATGTACATGAGCTATTGAGTTCATTGTTATAATAATTTACGCGGCTGATAACAAAAACCTTTTTATTATTGAGCAAATAAAAATAACTTCTGTTCGCCGTATCACCGCACCCTCTCTCTCTCTCTCTCTCTCTCTCTCTACTCGTTTCCTCTGTTTTCCCCATTTTCAAAAGTTCAAACGCAATTTCAAATCTCCATTTCTCTCGTACGAACCCTAACTTATATATAATCTATACCTATACATAAAAATATCTCTTGATCTCCTCTGTAACTATTGGATCTGCCGTGGTTTGTGCACCGATCTCGTGGTTTTTGGTACTACTGTGTCTATTGAATCCGAGCCGTTGATCTGGGAGTAGAGAGAGGATTGAATAGGAATTGAATTGATGGATGCGATCGAGGAATTGTCACAGCTTGCTAATTCCATGCGGCAAGCAGCAGCTTTGCTTGCCGACGAAGATGTTGATGAAACGTCGTCATCTAGGCGTCCCTCCACTTTTCTCAATGTTGTTGCTCTCGGCAACACTGTACGTCATTTTTTTTTAATTTAACTTGTTTGGGTATTTTGATAGATAGGGTTACTGTTTTTTTTTATCGGTTTTATTGTTTAGATCTCTGGAGCTAGCTGTTTTTTTGGATCTGATAATTTTGGTCTCTTTGGAATTAGAATTAAAATTGCATTTTCTTTTGTGTGATATGTATGTAAAGTTGTTTATTTGGGTTTGTTTTGTAATTTGGTTATATGGTGTGATGTATTGTAAGTTGACAGTGGTTTTGAATTGTTTCTGTCACGATTGGTCAATAATGATGAAATAGATCATAAACTTTTGTAGTTGTCTTGGATTGAGTAGATTGAGATTTTTTTCCATGCTATAGAAATGTATAGTGTTTACAGCATATCGAACAAGAATAGTATGCACATTGTGCTTCTCCAAGATCGTACAGTACTCATGTATGGTATTTCCCTTGAAAAATAATCAAGTGCATCTCAACATTGTTGCTTAAGTTTTTTATTTTGATGCTAACAGTTATCAGTGAACTCCAGCTAAATGAAAAACGAGCACGAGTTTAATTTTTCAAATGAGTTGATTCCAGACTCACAGTTGAGCTATGTGCATAAATTAGGTACAAAACACGAGAAATTATGAGTCACTGGGATGTAGATTACCAGCTGTATTATAGATCTACCGAACTTCATCTCTAGAGTTCTTAATTTACTCCAATCAGAATTATTTTGAATAAAAACTGAAGACCTCTTCTGCACCAAGAGACAATAGTGTGGAACCATCTGCAAACAAGAAGGCCACAAATAGAGATTACGAGTTTTGAGAAGATCACGATTTTGGATGTCTTTAAGTGAATTGTCCACGAGGGGCTTGGATGTAGATGGATATTCTTGACTGTCATATCTCAAGACCTAATTTCGGGTTAGTAAAAATTAAGCAGATTTACGAAGAAAATGAAGGTACAAGATATAACTCAATGACATGTAGCTCAGATTATCTTTTCTAGGATAACTCGAACAAATCTGCATCCTTCTTATTTGCTTTTAGAAGAGATTGTACTGTCCTTGTATAGAATGACATGAAGCAAGGGAATGGTTACCTTATGAATGTTGGAATGTGGAATACAGCTATGATGAATTTGTTGACAAATGAATATCTCACAATTGTAGTAGCCTGTAAATTTTATCAGTTAAGTCGAAGGTGATATATAGATTTGATCCATTAACTGTCACTTTACTGCACTGTCTTCTTTTATCATGACAATGACGGGTATCTTGTTATGTGTATGGATTGTTCAGGGTGCAGGTAAGTCTGCTGTATTGAATAGTTTAATTGGGCATCCTGCATTGGTAAGTATTTTCTGTTTGGAGCGTCTGCCCCTTTTGAAATTAATATTTTACTTACTACCTAGTGGGCATTGATTTTTGAGTCTAATTTTTATGCTGCAGCCAACTGGTGAAGGGGGTGCCACTCGTGCTCCAATTTGTATTGATTTGATGAGGGATAGCTCGATCAGCAGCAGATCAATTATTCTGCAGATTGATAGTAAATCTCAACAAGTTTCGGCAAGTGAGGCTTCTTCCTAAACTATGAATCAAGAGCAAAGTTCTATGTGCATCAAATCCACCACCCTCTCCCCCATTATGGAAATTAGAAAAAATCTGTTATCTTTAAGTCTTTCTTGATTCCAATTGAGTTTGTTCTTTCTTTTTGGCCTATCATAGGCGCTCTTCGGCATTCATTACAGGACAGACTAAGCAAAATCTCAGGCAAGAGTCGCGATGAGATATATTTAAAGCTTCGAACGAGTACAGGTCTGTGTCGTTTTAGAGCACTAGTTGATTTTCTCATTAACAGAGTTGTCAATATGCATTTTTTGGTTCTGTCACCTTCACCTGTTGATCCTCGTTGCCATGCAATTTCAATTTATTTTACTTTTGAGAAAAGAGAACCAGGAAAATTTTGGCATTATGGTATATTGATCTTTCTACATAATTGCAATATGATGTCATCTTCCATTTCTTTCCAACTTAAAAAAAATTGAATGCAATTTTAATGACAATGGGTTTTCTTCTTGGTTGCACATTTAAAATTAAAGAAGATATACGAGAGAGACTTTAAGCATGTCACATGGACTCCCATGTCTTATGAGGTTTTAACTACTATTGGATACGAAGCCCCCGTTTGACACACATTTTATCAAAATACATTCTTTCAAAATTTATTTTCAACCACACATTCTTCAATAAAATAATATTTTCCATCACGTCAATAATTTTTTTTTTTTTTTACTTTTTAACCACATATTTCCCATCATATCACTATTTAAAATACATTCTTTCCTCAATAATATCCATCAAACATACCCGAAATCATAGAAGTAGGCTAAAACCTTTTAATTGATACTTGTATTAACATATTAGTTTTTGTTATTTTATATGATATGTGGAGTTATTCATATGCAGCTCCACCATTGAAATTGATTGATTTGCCTGGGGTGGAGAAAGGAAATATCGATGATTCATTAGTGAGTAGCTTCTAAACATATTCTCTTATATTTGAACCATAGTTTCTGCAATAATATATAATGATTTTTTTTTTCTAAATGAATCTTTCAATTAGGTTTAGATTTGATACTGATTTTGGAAGTTTAATTTCCCTGTTTCATTTTTGCAGAGTCAATATGCTGAACACAGTGACGCAATATTGCTGGTTGTAATTCCTGCTTCCCAGGCCCCAGAAGTTGCCACATGTAAAGCTATCAGAATTGCTAAGGAGCTTGATGGAGAATGTAGGTTCGCTGCATTTATTTGGTTTTGATGTGTGAACATCAAAAAAGAAGTTGGGCGTTTGTGTTTTTAGATATTCCCCTATCCCATATTCTATTTCCTTTTTATGAAGTTCCAAAGCAATAAATGTTTTTTTGTACTTATTAGGTACAAGAACTGTTGGTATTATTAGTAAGATAGATCAAGCAGCTTCAGAACCAAAAATCATTGCTGCTGTACAGGCTCTTTTGTTGAATCAAGGTCCACGAAGCACGTCTGACATCCCATGGGTTGCTTTGATTGGCCAGTCTGTCGCCATAGCATCTGCTCAATCTGGATCTGTTGGAGCTGATAATTCTTTGGAAACTGCATGGCGGGCAGAGAGCGAAAGTCTGAAATCTATACTAACGGGGGCCCCTCAAAGTAAGCTTGGGAGATTAGCCTTGGTGGAAACCCTTTCTCAACAGATTCGAAATCGTATGAAACTTAGGCTTCCCAATCTCCTCTCTGGGTACATTACCTCCTCCAACTTCTTGTGTTTTGGTTTATGTTTAGTTAATCCATCTAAAAGGGATTGATTCCGTCTGTAAGACCTTGCAGAAGAACTGCTTTTGGTATGCTTTACTTTGTCCTTATCCCTCTAGTATAAAAGGAATCAGCTGTCTCCATTTTTCTTTATGGGAATTTAGGGCTGCTTCCTTGTACTATAGTAGAGAAATAGGCAAAAGTCTCGTATAGTTGCAAACATTAACTTCATTAATATTTGACAAAAAATACTGCACTCTTTTTTTTAGCTGAATCAAAGTGAACCACAGATGCTACTGCATGTCAGTCTCCTCCTCACACATTATCTGATTTAATTGAATGTTATTTATGAGTTTGGATGCATATCATTGGGATACATTGCTTTCTTTACCAGCACTCCAATGACTTTTATTTGATACTTTTTACAACTACTGCAGGCTTCAGGGAAAATCCCAAATAGTGCAGGATGAATTGGTCAGACTTGGTGAACAGATGGTTAATAGTGCTGAAGGCACAAAAGCTTTAGCACTGGAGCTTTGCCGTGAATTTGAGGATAAGTTCCTCCAGCACATTACGACTGGTGAGGTGAGACTTAGCTGCAAAAGTCATCTTTGGCTAATTTTTTTAATTATGAAGGCTTTTTTGAGTAATTAGGATGAAGAAAATTTTCATTGTAGCATCACTTGATGAGTGAAAGAGTATCTTTGGATGCTATATCCTACATGGTCTTTTCTAGATCAAATTCTAGCTGCCTATTTTCTTACTACTTGATGATAAAACATGTGCTTTTAAATGTTTGTACCTTTTCTCCTATATTTACAGATCAGTTTACAGTGATTATTAAAATGCAACAATTCAATGTCTGTTAGTATTCGACGTGCACCGCTCAATGTTTGGGTTGTAAATTAGTAGTTCTAATGGTTTTCTCTTCATTATATAATTGTTCGTAGTGTTGATGGTCATCACCATCTTTTCGACAACACATTTGAGTTCTTTAAGACGTTACAGTTTTTCGTTGTTTGTATAATTCATTTGGTAAATTAGTCTGAGCATTGTTACTTCGAAATGTGTATGAAGTTCCTTTTCATTTCTTCCAGGGTTTTGGGTGGAAAGTTGTTGCTAGTTTTGAGGGTAACTTCCCAAACAGGATGAAGCAGCTCCCACTAGATAGACATTTTGACTTAAACAATGTTAAGAGGGTATGTATTCTACACTACTGTTAACTTAAATTGTGAGCATTTCCTTCTAAAGTTTTAATGTTTATTCTACTGTGTTCTTACTAACATTTTTCCTTGTTATAGATTGTGCTGGAAGCTGATGGTTATCAGCCTTACCTTATTTCTCCTGAGAAAGGGTTGAGGTCTTTAATAAAGAGTGTTTTAGAGTTAGCAAAGGAACCTTCACGTCTTTGTGTAGACGAGGTAAACCAGTGTAAACCCTTCTCATTTTCCTTTTTGTGCCGTTTTGTTTGTGTAGGTGTTCTCCTTTGCAAATTGGTTTCTTGTTTTCTGCATGTTCTCTTGATTGTTCGCTTATTCCAACACACATGTCATCTTCTCTCATCTCTACCATGCCAGTTGACTTGCTTACCATTAATTTTTGCCCGTATAAGATGGAATTTAGTTGTAGATAGATGTTTGAGTACATAACTTTGTTCACTTCAAATTAATGAATTATTAAATTGGTATCCCAGTAAATGTGTAATTGGATCGAGGTTCCGTTGCAATTGTTCTTACACCTGTTCCTCTCCCACTTTTGTCCTCTAGTCTGTATATTCTTGACTTTGTTCTTGGTAAATTGATTTCTATTAAAGTATCATATAAATTTTTACACTTGAATATTCTATCCCAGCTGAAGTAATTCCTTCAGGGGGTTCTCTTTAGCTAATACACTATTTTACGTGTTGCTAAGCTGCCATGGATATCAGATCACCCATATCCTCTGTTGTGTATGAAATCTTGTTAGTTCTTGCTGTATAATCCTAGGATCTTCCTTCAAGGTTATTATTCATCTTTGAACAGGTGCATCGGGTACTTGTCGATATTGTCTCAGCTGCTGCAAATGCTACACCAGGTCTGGGTAGATATCCTCCTTTTAAGCGAGAGGTAATCATGAGTTGCAGACATTCAATCACTTTTATAGGTGTAGGGATGTGTTTACTCACTTCATCATGTGAAATATTGTTTTCTTCTTTAATTTGCTAGGTTGTGGCAATTGCCACCACTGCTTTGGAAGGGTTTAAGAATGAAGCAAAAACCATGGTAGTTAACCTTGTTGACATGGAGCGGGCATTCGTTCCCCCTCAACACTTTATCCGCTTGGTGCAGAGGCGGTACGTTCACCAACTGCTGGTGCAATAGTTAACTTTTCCTCCTCTCCTTTGTTTGGAGAGAGATGGGCAATATGTGATTATGTTATCTAAACTTAGTTTGGTGCATTATCTTCTTAGATGTCGGTTTCGTGAGGGAGTAATGCTTCATACTTTTCTGTCAGGATCTTTGTGTCAGTTTCCCCAGTTTAATGATAATGTATTTTCTTACAATGTTTCTCTCTCTGATGGTTGCCAGGATGGATAGACAGAGACGCGAGGAGGAGCTGAAAACTCGATCTTCTAAAAAAGGTGTTGAAGCTGAGCAGTCCATGCTGAATAGGGTACACTTCTTATCCATGAGTGTGCTCATATGGATGCCTGAGATTATTGTCTTTATGTATCACTATCATGGCATGTACAGCATGCCTAAGAATTTCTGTAAAATAGTCTGTTCGTAAACACTTCTGATTTTTGTGTACTTTCAAATGCCTTCAATGCTACATTTAGGCCACCAGTCCACAAACTGGAGGCCAACAAAGTGGAGGGAGCTTAAAGTCAATGAAGGATAAACCTAATCAGCAAGATAAAGATGGACAAGAAGGATCAGGCTTGAAAACTGCGGGGCCTGAAGGGGAAATAACAGCAGGTTTGTGCAAAAATTATCTCAGTTTTAATGAGCTATAATTTTTTTCTTTCGGTATGGGAGCTTTATTCTCTAATTAAGGATCATATTTTCTTTCCTCCAACTTTTAATTTAATCACTTTTGCAGCACATGGCACATTTCATTACCTCTTTCATTGACCTTGTTGTGAAATGATTAATTTAATACTGCTGTCCCCAGTATGTGATTGAGGTATGCTGCAGTCAGTTCATTTTTCATCTGTTTGTAAAGAATGCAGTGATCCAAAAAAAAAAAAATGCTGCCCATAGAATTGCAGTTTTGATCCACCAGGCATTCTTCTGTCACAATTTTAGGATGGGAGGCGTACAGTCAAATTAAAAAGAATTAATTATGCAAATAACATAAGAGAAAAGCAAACAATTTATTTTGGACATGCGTAGCAGCCTGGTCGTATAATGTAATAAGGTTGTCCATGATGCATGATTTATTATGACAATAGCTTCTTAAATGCTAAAACCATTAATGGCTTCCTCAATGCTAAATGGGCTTCCTATTATGTACTTTTATCTCGCCAATGTTTTGATCGAGTACCTTCATTTCGTTTGCAGGGTTCTTATTGAAGAGAAGTGCCAAAACTAATGGTTGGAGTAAAAGATGGTTTGTTTTGAATGAAAAAACTGGGAAGGTGAGAACAAAGCCTTTTTAATGTAGATATCCGTTTTATTTTACTATAATACCATGGTGGAGCTTGTACTTTTTCTTCTCTCTATTCAATATTTCACCAGGAGAATCGTCTCTAATCCAAAACCTGTCAGTTCCCTTTATACACTTCTACCATGCACTTTTCACCTTTGTTTTTTATAATCTTAAAAAAATTGATCAACAGAAAAGGTTATTTTTTCCATTGAATTGATGATCATTCTAAGCTTTTCATGTCGAATATCTATGGTTAAAGCGTTGCAATTAGTTTTTTGGTGGGTTTGAATAATCAGAAACTTAGTGGTATATTTCTTTTCTGGAATGATTACAATTGAATTATCACAACCAGTTTATAATGAAATAATGCATCATATTTGATGATTAGATGTTTCTTCTGCACTGCTAAGTTGTCACATTATTGCTTACGTGATGATTGTCTACTAAAAATTAAATCTCCTCCTGCAGCTTGGGTACACTAAAAAACAAGAAGAGCGACATTTCCGTGGTGTTATCACTTTAGAGGTATACAGCACGTGAATGAACCTTTTGTATTTTAAAATTTTCAGAGGAGTTATCTTTTACTTGATTAGTTTCAGATTCTGTTTCTAAATTTTTATGGTTCTTGTTTGCGTTGTCTCCTATGTTAATTGGTCTGTTTCTTTGTATTTGGTTACCCCTAGATTTCTAGATGCACGTGTCCCTGTAATTATAGAAGAACTAATTGTTTGGGGGCATTCTTAAAATTAATTGTGATACTGTTTTTAAATTGATTGGAGTTTCTTAACTGATATCAACAATATAATAGGGAAGAGGAACTATCATCTGAAAGTGGAGTTACAAAGAAAAAAAATAAAAAATCATCTGTAAGTGGAGTTGCAAAAAAAAAAATAAAAAAAAATGGAATGTGCACTGATATGGCTATATTTGTTTTAATTTTCATTAGGTAACTTCATTAAAAATGGGGGGATCCTCATATTCAAGGTGTTTAGACAAAACACAGTACTAAGAGAACACTTCAATTCTCCCTTCCAGTAATCAAGACATGAGGGATGGATTGCCTTATCCAAAAGAAAAGAAAAAGAAGAATGTACTTTTGATCCTCCACAAAGAGATCTTAATGCCTTGAGAAAGCTCTTGTATTTCTTTCCCTCTGAAGGAACCAAAATATTCCATGCCTTTACTACTTTACTGACTCTTGACTCCCTCCAACTTAGAGTTGCTCCTATGTATATAATGTAGAATCATTGTTTGTAATTACAAATTTGGTTCTATGCATGTACTTATTCCTTTGTGGGTTGATTAAAATTTGGACAAATTTCTTCGTGCTTAGTGCTTGTTTACTTGGAATTTGGTGGCTATTCTGCTTCTATCTTCATATTTTGCACCCAGTTGGTATTTGCCCCGTCTCTTTGACTAAAGTGTCAAGTGTTTATTCTAAATAAAATAGAGAGAGGTGGAAAAAATGTATTACTGAAAGATACCATTTTTTCATTTTATGTGATCAAATATATGAATGCTCAAAACACATTAAATAATCAGGAATGTAATCTTGAAGACATATCTGAGGAAGAAGAAGCTCCTTCTAAAAGTTCGAAGGACAAAAAGGCGAATGGTCCAGAGAAACAACCCAGTCTGGTATTCAAACTGACAAGCCGGGTTCAATATAAAACTGTTCTTAAAGGTAATAATTTTGGTTGTTAATCTTTTATTTTTATATACACGTCATTTTCTCAAATTACAAACTGGTCTAACACTCAGTGTACGTGATGTTGCAGCCCATAGTGCTGTTGTGTTAAAGGCCGAGAGTATGGCAGATAAGACAGAATGGTTAAAAAAGTTGAGAAATGTTATCAGTTCTAAAGGAGGTGAAGTGAAGAGTGAATCTGGCCCGTCCATTAGGCAAAGTCTTTCTGATGGTTCTCTTGTAAGTAACTAAGTGAAATTTCATTGTTCCAATTTCATGGCTCTAATATATGCTATCATAATTTCCATTTCTTCTAATTCTTGTTTTTTTTAACCTGTTAGATATTTAAATAATTTAGGTATACCTGAGCAACATCTCTTTTAGTTGGTCAGAATATGTTATCTTGTTATAATCCTTCCAAAAGCTTTTATTAATTAAGATATTAACATGTGGATGAATCATTTAGGATACAATGGCAAGAAAACCAGCAGATCCTGAAGAAGAGCTTCGCTGGATGGCTCAGGAAGTGCGTGGTTATGTTGAAGCTGTTCTTAACAGCCTTGCTGCCAATGTCCCAAAGGTAAGTTTCAAACTAAAGGCTCCATGTGATTTGGTTTATTTGAAGCAGAGTCCTCATATGTAATTTATTGGGATTTGTCAGGCTGTTGTTCTTTGCCAAGTAGAAAAGGCTAAGGAAGACATGCTCAATAAGCTGTACAGTTCTGTCAGGTTAGCAACACTATGATACCTGCATTTTATATACATTGCCTTGTAATTGCCATATTCTTTATTAAGTGTGAGAAGCAGAAAAATATAACCGTACGTTGGTGGTATCCATGTTTCATAACCATTCAAATGCATACAAACACATCGTTACTTGCTATTAAGTTCTGTCATATTGTTATTCTTCTTGCCTCATCATCACATTTTCATGTTGATGTGGATTTTAGTGGCCAAAGTACAGCAAAAATTGAAGAGCTTCTCCAGGAGGACCAGAATACAAAGCGCAAGAGGGAGCGTATTCAAAAACAGTCTTCTCTTCTTTCCAAGCTCACCAGGCAACTCAGTATTCATGATAATCGGGCAGCTGCAGCGTCAGACTTTTCGAATGGCGGAGCAGGTGATTATTTGCTCATTTTGGTTTCTTTACCTCTACAGTTTTGATGTGAATCCTTTGCAAGCACAAAATCTATGTGAAAATATTCCTAGTTACATAGGAGAGAGTTTTTCAGCATCCCCATATGGAAGATTACTATTTGTAATAGTGCTTGTGTTTAGAGTGCTCAGCACCAGCATCAAAACAATGAAATTGGAAATTTGAAGTACACAATTAGAGCAGCGAAATAAACATGCATGTTAGGTTAAGAGGAATAAAGTCTTTATCAAGATTTGTGACTTGATTAATTGGGTACAAGTGCATCATTCTTGACCATTAGAAGAAAAAGGGATAATAACTGACTGATAACTAACGATCCATGTAGACGAAAATGCATATTTCTGTTTATGTACTCATGTTTGGAGTGTTACTTTGAAGTAGCTCTGTTCAAGTTATGATATTATGACTTCAAAATTCAGCTATGATTTTTTGCTATAATTTGCTATGCTTGGATGATGGGGCGGGGGCTTAAATGCACTGCTAGTCACTTAGCTTTTAGTGAAATTTCATTTTGATGACTAAAATTCGTCTGTTTTAAGCTGTTCACTGAAAAACTTTGTTACCAATTAGTTACAAAGTTTTTCAGTAACCAACCTAGAATGTAACAAAGTTTAGTGACCAACATGAAATTTAGCAAAAACATCGGGGACTGCTAGTGTTTTCTAGCCTTGAATGATACCTTATGTGGCTTGTGCATCATTTCTATCATTAGTAAACTTGAGTTTTCCCCTTATTCACTTGTGTAGAAAGCAGTCCAACTTCTGCTGGACCCTCATCAGGTGATGATTGGAGATCAGCATTTGATGCTGCTGCCAATGGCCCAGCTGATTCATATGGGGACTCTAGGCACTCATCCAATGGTCACAGTCGTCGGTACAGTGACCCTGCTCAGAATGGCGATGTGGGCTCTGGCTCAAACTCCAGCAGCCGCCGCACCCCTAATCGATTGCCACCTGCTCCACCCCAATCTGGCTCTTATAGATTTTAGATTATATAATTTTGACAATTGATTCATGCATTCTCATCGGGTGATTGCTCATGCCTACTCGTCTTGAGCTCTTATCGAGCTTAATCATGTTATAGTATCTTTGTAGAATTGTCACACACATCTTTGTAGATAAATAGCAGGATCAATATTGGTTTTGCGGTTATGTTTGCCACTGCTGAATTTTTGTGATGTACTTGCAATAACTTACCATTGGGACCGATTTTCTCCTCCCTTTGGGGTTTATCGTTAATATTTTTTACAAATATACTGAGACGAGGTTTCTGAGAACTAATTATAGTGTTCTTACCTTTTAAATTATTTATTTTGAACAAATCTGCGATGTTCCTTGTGGCATTGAAAAGGTCATTAGGGGAGTGGTTATTTACCTTCACCATTATTATAATGTATATATCTATTTCACTCTATATCTATCCTGATTAAAAAATTTAAAAAATATATATTTTTTAATCCACGTAACATTTCAATATTGTTTTATTAAACAGTATACATTCATAAACCATTCGATCTTATCATAAACCATTCGATCTTTATAAATTGCAGAAAATTATCATGTTTGAAACCTTTTGTGATGTATCCTCCTACACGTTGTAACTCGTTGAAAATTCACTAAAAACGTTTTCATTTATAATATAATTCATACCTATTGAAAATTGTAGAAAATTCGTTGTTTGAAACATTGTGTGAAAAACTCCCTACTTTCATGATCCGTTAGATTTGACGTTAATCTTCCTTTACCTTAGAAGAGGGGATCCCAAATTTACTGTTCAATTGAATCCTCCTTTTCACACTACTGTAGCTA